ACGAAAGCAGCTCCGACAATTAAAAATTTCTTTCGCGACTTCAAAAGTTGAAAACTTAGACTTTTAAATTACAGTTGTTTGTTATCAGTTAAAAGTTGCTATTGAGATGTTGTGTTTGCATGAAGAAATCTGCCTGAACATATTACTTAATGAAAACAATACAATAGGTTTTTTTCCCACTTTATCATATTAAATTATCATAATTTTTGACATGAGAAGATAAACGACGGAATGGAAGATAAACCCACATGAAAGATAAAAGCAAATAATTAGTTTCTTATCTATTTTTTCCCCCTTCACATATTTTACCGAAAGAAAAAAAGTGAAAATATAAAAGTTTTTATAGTCAACAGTAATAAAACAACGAGATTCATTTTTAAAATCAAAGCTAACATAATTTTCCATTCCTCTCCGACAGTATTTAATAATTAATTGCACTACTGAGATGAACAAAATTTACGAAACACTACATTCCAGCAACTATTAAAAATGCTTAGGCTGCAAAAGAAAGAACAAAGACCATCAACTTAACTGAGTGACAGCGACAGTTGCAGTTTGAAAGGGAAACGATTTCACATACGTGTACTCGCATTCTGGCAATGACGTTAGTCACTAAAATTACGCAATATAACTAACATTACAATCGTAGTCGTAGCAACGTTAAAGTGAATTATAGCCAAGTGAACATCAGATAAAAACAGCACATTTGATTCGAAATCTAGGAATTCTCAATTTTTGCTTTTGTTGACTCGTACATACTTGCTATAAGTTCATATCTATTCATTCAAATAGTTCACATCTTCATTATAAGCTCCCGATGGTTATAAATTCCATTTTAAAGCTAAATTATAGAATATAATACTTATTTAAATTCAGCAAGCAAATTAGCTAAAACTGATCACAATGAACATCCTGATAAATAATACCGACAAATAAAATTACTGATTCACAGATCCATAAATTAATATTACAAGATTAATAAAGTCTGAATGTGATACACTAACAAATATTTTATTAGTAACCAGATCGATCAGGCTCATTTGAAAAAAACAACTGAAATTATTCCATATTATAATACTTTTTTTTATTTAAAAAAATTAACTAGTATCTAAAACGCGAATGTAGAATAATACGTCACTGATATAAAATAGCAACCATACTCATATTTTCATACTTCTAAATTTATTTTTAAATTAAAATTTTCAAATGCAGTTTAAAAATATAAACTATTGTAGCTTGAAATACTCAAAAAATTTTAATTTTAAAATAGCTTTTGAATAACTCAGACTAGGCGCACAATCGACAACAATTAATAAAAAACAATGTTTACGTTAATCCTAGACGATTCCGCTTTTTTGTACCAAAAGAAATCATTGTGGCTGAATCAACATTTAAATTTACACATTTAAATACCAAAAAGCACGCCAAAACTTATTTTCTTAATATTCTAAAAGAAAATATTTTAAACCAACTTTATGTGAAGAATAAAATTATGGATGTACAAAAAAATGTACTTCCTCTAAATACTTTTTGGTGTCCAATCTAATCGAAGAACTACACGATATATAAAATTTTTACATTTAAAATGTTCTTCTAAACTAAAACTGAATACTAATCAGTAAAGAACACCACAAGAGGAAATAACACGAACACAGACATTCTTACAAAAGGAAATACTTCAAAGCAATAGAATCTTATAAGAGGAATTCTTTCAATAAAGCTGCATTCGACAACAGATTAATTTAGATATACAAGCAAAAGAGTGGGAAAAGCAACTTCAAAGAAGAAAGATTCCAGTACACATTTTATATCGAAAAGCCTTATTATATAAAAGAAAAATGGAGAAAACAATGAAAATTGGCCTCAAAAGGAAATTTCTGAAGTGCAGAAATCCCTTAAAGAAGAAACGACTTCAATAAAAGGATTCCCAGCGAGTATATTTAAAGCACAAATCCTTCGAATGCTTTCAAATGCATCGGAATACTAAACACTTGAAGACTGCCTTCTTTCGGCAACAAACGAATCAGAAGAAAGAACATAAGAGACCAAACCACAGTCACTCCTCCTTTCGCAGTGCAATAAAATTGCAAAAGGGGAGGGTAAAAAGAAATAAAAGGCAAGATAATAAAAAATGAAAGTCCGATTCTTAATCTACCATTTTCGTAATTGCTCTAAGGCCCAAGGCGCAGACCAATTTCCATACTACTGCTACCAAAGCTACGTGACATGACCGCGAAAATGTACATTAAGAACTAGCCCTTGGCCCTGAGGCAATACTTACTCTCGCGAGAAACCTTTGCTTAATGGAGCGCGACGGTTACTATCACTTGCAAGACGGATGGACGTTTATCCAGGGAAGTAAAGTGGTCGGAAGGATCAGGTTCCACAGTTGCTTACGTTCAGAGAAGGGTTAAAAGAATTCTTTGTAAGCAGCGGACTTATATGTGACAAAGTTCACGGAAACAGCCGTAAAGAATATTTAAAAAGTTGAATGACGTGCACAATTTTCAAGGAAATAATTTATTTGGAAGACAGTTACGCAGCAGACAAGCACTAAGTTTTCCGAGGAAACACGGCATTACGGCTTCACGCAATTTCATTTCATGAGTGATGGATATATAGTTTACAAACAGACGGATACCTGTAATGCCGAGGATTAAATTAATTTAGCATGCTCAAATAATTTCGAGATAGCAGTAAACACTCATAAACTTGTTAAGATTTAGCTGATTCAATGAAGCAGAGATAATGGAAGATTGTATTCTGAAGTTACAATCTAACCACGGCGTAACTCTTAAAGCGCTAAATGGATGAAATGTGCAATCCTTAAAATATAAATTAAATTAACATTCCTCAACCCTTGTTACTGAAAGAATCTACCTTCTTATTCGAATTACTATCCTCATCCAATTTCACTTTTTATTTCTCTACAATTTTAATAGCAGGATTCTTAGCAAACTACGAACACGATAAAAGAAGTAAGTGAGTGCATTGTCAACATTAAGTAATGTCTCCATAACACTTTTCGCAATTTCCATAATAACAATTAAAACTTATAAGGTATTTCTCCCGCTTTCCTAGCGTGCCTTTGCGGTGCAATGGTTCTGACGTTGGGCCGGTATTCCAGAGGTCTGTAGTACGATTCCCGGCGAAGGCGTTTGCTAATTTTTCATCTTGCCTGCTTCCAAAAAATCATGATGTCTCTATAGAGGCGCTCGAACTAAAAGGGTGTTGGATGATGATTCCCCCTCACCCAGGATTTGGAGATTGGGTCCCCTAAAATCCCAGTCGCCCTTTAAAGAGAGGAGTGTCTAAGGTATTTCTCCCGCTTTCCTAGCGTGCCTTCGTAGTGTAGTGGTTCTGCACGCTGGGCCCGGTATACCAGAGGTCCGTGGTTCGATTCCCGGCGAAGGCGTTTGCTAAATTTTCATCTCTCCGGCCTCAAAAAAAAAAAAAAAAAAAAAAAAAAGTCATGTCTCTACAAACTGTTTTTTTAATTAAAAAATAACGGTGCCATTAAAATAAATATCAACGCTAAGGAGAATATTTAATCACATCTAGAATTACTTAATTATCTACAGAATCGTTTGCATAAGAGGCACTCAAATAAACACCCACAATTCTTGAGTTACTTAAATATCGGAATATTTACGATAAATTACGTAAATAATGCTATCTTTCAGGATTCATAATTACCGAATTAGAGGTGAGCTATAGTTAATTTCCATTCATCAAGAGAAACCCAAATTTTGAAGCCAAGTAGTCATCAAGTATATTTTCTAACAACCAGATACTAAAAATATGAACAGTTACTGTCACTTTTAAAATAGACTGAAAACAGTACATCTACCTCAATATCAGACATATTTTATTATTTAAAAACGGACGTCTGAAAAATTATACGTTCTATATCCAAAGCTTATTTTTAAAAAAATAACTTAGCACACATTCTTAAACACATATTTAAAATGTATTTATTTCACTAAATGTTGATTTTTAGATCATTCATTGCACCTTTTGTAGAAAATTTCGATATATCAAGCTCGTACACGTGAAGCCGTGTCCTGTCCATAAGCCGTTAAATTTTATTCGAAAGCATTTTAAAAAATACAGGGACTTCTTATATTACAGCCAATATAGTAATTTTATTTCTTCTTTTTCTATCCTGAATAACATGGCTAAACTTGCAATTCTTTCACACTTGATTGGCACTTTAATTGAAAATTACACATTTGATAAGAAAAATTAGAAACTTAATTTCTAAAATTTGAAGTATGAAACGGTGAAGAGAAATAAACAAATGAAATACGAAATAAAAACAATAAAAAAATTAAAAATACAAAAAGAGAGAAAAAGATCACCAAGTTAACTACCGCAAGTTTTCTTCTGTTCAGCAATACTGTTTCTAGTGTTCAACAAATAGTCACTAGAACATCAAAAATTGCTAATGCAGCTCTTTTGTTGCACAATTAGTTACGTATTTAGGCTCCGGTGCGAAAACTAAAAACCGAATGATATTTTTCAGTCAAAGAGCTCAAGAATCCAAGCTGCCGACCTCAAATGTGGCAATAATGAGGTTACTATCTTTACTGTTTGAGTTATAGCTAAAATCCAAGTATACAGTACCAATCCACTACATTTTCAAAGTGGTGGAATCCTGGACAGATTTATCTATTGGACTAAATGGATATGATATTGGACTTGACAACTTATACATGACTGTGAGATATAACATATGTGACAAGCAAATTTTCATTTGAAAAGGAACTGTTCGAGTGCTAGGAAATTATGTGAACATTATATGTTAATTAAGTATTTTATGCGTTATATCCACACTTGCATCTGCTGATTATCTAACTAAATAAACAAGGATCTGTTACCACCAAAACGATTTAGGCTCATTTGGTGGGATCTCCGCCAATTTTCATGCTCGAAGAGAAAGTGCCAATGCTTCAGCTACAGAAGACAAGAGAAACAACATACAGCAAATGGGTACTTACGTGGCACGTTCAGCCGCACTCTCGGTCTGTACTCGTCTTGCCATGCGGCATTTACAGGCTGTGGCAGCAACGCCGTCAGAAGGAGGCATCCAACTACTGTTAGAACTGAAGTGAAGGGATAAGATATACTGAAGCAGGGCTGCCACCGTATTCCGTGCAGGGGCAAAGAAGTGCTGGGTAGCAACATGGCGTCGTCCGGGGCTGCAAGGCGGACGGGCGGGTCAGTGCAGAAAATTTCTCAAAGCTGAGAATATGTGTGTGTGTGAGACTAAGCAAGTGAGTTTGCGTGAATTTCCTGCTTCACTGGATTCACATTTGGGAGTCCGTGGGTATGTGAGTAGGGGAAGACTTCTGTCTCTTACTGCTGTTGAAGGATCTGCAGCATTTCCTCACATTCTTCCCGCATCACTGTAAAAGAAAACAGAAAAAAGTATTTACTAAATGAATTCGTAGAGAAACTTACGATTAACAAACAAAGAATACTTAATATAAATTACAATTCTGAAACACTGTAACAGTAAATAAGACACATGTCAATCCCCTTTAAATTTTGGGTGGGATTGTTACTTGCCTCTTTGAAGCATCCTGTACTGCCGCAGCATAATCTCCACCACCGAATTTGAAATCGGATGATATGATATACTTAAAATACAATACAAATCAATACTCTAAATATCGTTTAATTTATAGTTAACCTCTAAATCCACTACACAATAATGAGAGATATATAATGTATTAGATAATAATCTCTCTTACATAATCTGACTTTACCAGTAACCGAAAAATTACATATTTTAAGACACATATCTGATAAAAATTTCACAGACATCAATAAAAATAAAGCCATGAAGAGTGAAATTCATCTTCAAACTCCTTGCTTTATAATCGAGTAGAAGAGGAAATTACTTTGCGGAATAAATTTTAACATTTTTTAAATTTAGTGCTCTACAATTTAAAACATAATAATTGCAGCTGTCAGCTCAAAATTAAAATTATTACAATCAATAGAAAATATTACATGAGATTTCGAAATATTTTTGAAGTTTTCTGTTAAAGGAGATTAATAATGTCAATATTTTCAGCATGCGCAAAAGTGCAGTCGTTTATTCTGCCCAACCGATCATTTTGCATCAGGTAATGCTTTTCTAGCACAAATATAGAGTTGAATACTCTGAACTCCTGTACCTAGAACTTTGCACAGTCTGCTTTACGTTACACCGTTATTCAGCAACGACACTGTGGTACATATATATATATATATACATTTCCGTCAGTGTAATTACAGCCTAAATAAGGATTAAAAATTTAATTCACTGTGTAAACAAACGACTTCTATGTACAGAATACTAAGTGAATTGTATAGGTACAAAAACTAGAGCAGTACCCCTACAGTACCACAGGTATAGCTGAACCTAGCTAACTGTTACGTTTTCCGTCCCAGGTTTGTAGCAGAACACCGCGCGGGGGTCGGTCCAAGATATCCCACCCATTTTCCGTGTATTTTGTGTGCCCCTTGCTGCACGGATGCTATATGCATACAAACATCTGGGCCTTCTGCGGAAATCGAATCCGGGCCCATCAATACGGCAGTTTATGTCAGTAAACCATATGCCGGTTGGGTGCCAAGAGAATTGTACAGAAATACAGATAATTTCACATTACTAAACAAAAACAATTATTTCAAAGTAACTTTGGTAACAATATTCTCTGATTAAACAAATAAGCAGCATTTGTATTCGTTAAATGGTAAAACTATTTTAATTTCTGCATATTAAAAATATTTTTTTTTCATGAATTATCCTTGAAGAGAAGTTTCGGTTTCCGATTTGGCTTGGGGGAACTCTTAATTAATTTTTATAATTAATTTCGGTTGATTGAAAAAACGCAAACATTTTTTATTTTTAGCATCTCTGCTTTACACTTCAGGGCTAACCGCAGCCTAGATATTTTCGCGAAGAGATTAAAAACATTAAACAGACGTTATTTATTATTTTTATATGAGCCTTCATTATCCGATAAACATGAGACGCTAGCCAGATATCCAACGACAGCTTAGGCAAAATCAACACATGGGGGAATATATACGAGTCATCAATGATTCTCGAATTTCGCATTTGAAACTTGCTGTAAAATGATCCAGAAATAGATAAGAACGGGAACTTTTTCTTCTAAATGATAAAAAAAGCAGTTATCAATGAGAGTTGAGCGAGCATCCAACGGTTTTTAATTTTCGGATTTCGCTATGATTTATTTTGGTGGTTCTTATGTAACATTTATCTACTATCTGAGTTTATGAAATAAGTCTCATATTCAAAGGGGGAAAAAAAGTTATAAATGGACAGCAACCGCTATTTATTACACCTCAATTAGTCCCTAAATCTCGTAATCTATCGCTTTCGGCACGTCGTAAATTGAAAGCGTCTTTCAGCTGAGAATTAATGAGTAGCGCAGATAGCGGGATTTGAGACTTAACTTCTGGCAAATCTCTGCAGAACAAGCATATTTTGAAAACGAGCCAGAGAAGAAACTACTTTTAAAGTTCAAAGGAAAGCAAAATTTCTGAAATATACTTATCAGAACACATGTTTCCGAAATGACATGTGCAACTTACATAAATCAAATAAACACTTATAGTGAGTACATTTTCAAGATAATGTTTTAATATGGACCCAACATTTTGAGGAAAAAATAAACAGAAGGAAATATTATTCACAAAATAAAAATGATTTCGCAGATCTTTTTGGGAAAGAGCTATTGAAGAAAAAAAAAAAAAACTTAGTAACAACTGCACACATATTTTTAAACAGTAAAGTAAATAAATAAAAATAATTTATCTTGTAATAAACTTGTCGAGCAAGCGCGAGGCAGTTAGTTCCTCATATGCGTTGCAGATAAAACACATAATCATATTTTTAAACTATTATTTCTTAAACTTTTAGCATCGAGATGCACACGCGAGTATTTGCGATCTATCTACCTAATTAGATAGAGTATTAAAATTTCACTCAAAAACTAAGAAATAGCTCCGGCGGATTTTCCCTGAATGCTAGATTTGCTAGATTTTCCCTGAATTCGATCCAGTAACAAGCAAAAACAAACATAAGGCTCTGTACATTTTTCGTTCTTCTTATTTGGTTACTTTGTTCATGAACTCTCCAGCAAAGAACCTCTCCATAGAGATTCTTTGGTCTCCAGAAGGTCTGCAGTGGAAAGTCACCTGTGTTGCACTGCACGGCTAAGGTGATCACTTTTGGCATTTTCGTCAATGAAAAATTAAGCCTTTCTCATACATTCATTACATTTCCTAAAGAATAAGCTCTTGATGCGCAAGTAGAGGCATTTCTTTTTGTAACAGTCAGAATTTTTCAGTCAATGTGTTTGTTCTGAAGTCAGAATTGACTTTTAGGGGTTTTTTTATCATTAAAATGAAATTTGTCTGCTGAAATTGTGGTTCACTTATGTAAAAGAAGGCTTTTATTTAGAGCTCCGATGCACCAGAGCCCTAAATCAATAACAATTTCGATCCAAATAAATTAAATAAATTTTAATTAAATAAATTACAACTGCGACTAAATTAGGATTTATGTCAAAAACTGAGAAGTACGCCCCGGTTAGGCTCTAGCACAATTTAAGCTCTCATTGTACTACACTCAGATCATTATATATGATTATTGAAGTATCATTGCATATTTCCACTTAATAGCGAAAGGAATATGAATCAAGGGTCATTAGATCATAAGGGATCGCAACTTCATTTTCAGTTTTTATTGTACTTGTACCATTTCTATTGCACTTGTTTTCTAAATAATTTCGCAAAGATTAAAAAATAAGCTGCATGATATCTTCATGACGGATAACAGATATGGATAGTTAGAGAAGAAGAAGAAATTTCCTCTCTATCGTACTCTGTACAACCGGAAAATTAATTTTTGCGTTGTTGGAATTAAGTTCGTGTTCTGTGATATCACTCGTACAACATTATAAGTATTTAAACTCTACATACACGCAACGAAAGAACCATGTATCACAGTTAGCGCCTGTTTTATGTCAGGCATCGCTTACTAATTGGGAATTTATTTCCAGAATGCGTAGCAAGGAAGTTTCGACAAGACTGCTGTCGCAACGCGCAGTCAAGGTCGTTCTTTTCTCAACAAATTACAGTTAACATTCGAGACGAAAATTGTTCAATCAGCACATCGCAGCATTTTCTGACCGTGTGAAATTCGGAGTCTATTGATGATTCTTTACGCGTCTGAAGTTCCAAAACATCCCGCGGAAACTGAAATGTTGCTTTCTGAACTATAGTTTGACTCCGAATGAAACTCTTTGATCAGCACTTTGTAGCAATTTCTGTACGATGACAATTTAAAAATTAGTATTGATAGCCGACTCCATTTAGCTATGGTTGAAATCTCATGGGAACTGGCAGTTTCTCTTCTCTTTGATCCATAGATCAGATTTTAAACATTCATCTTCCCTCCCCCCCCGGGCTGCTTGCCTAAAACTTTTAATTGCCACATACAAAACAGGTCGGAATATTTTAAAGTTTATAATTACATTGCAAATATGTTAGTCATTTACTCAAAGCGATAACTATAATAATATAACATTTTTATTAAAATTGATATTATTTTCGGTGAAGATGATGATATATTGATATACACACACAGTTCTCAGTTGATATTTATATAATAATATATGATGTTAATATGCTTACACTCACGTATTTATTATAACTGAATATTACTCAACGAAAACGCAGAATTTGCGGGAAAAGCGGAGAAATCTCGTGGAATATTATGAAAAACCGAATTTATATAAAATTAAATATAATTACGAATAATATATAACAAAAATTTTGTTCGTGAATTTGATAATTCAAAAACAAAATATACTGATTTCTATCTAAGATGATCAACCAATATCCAAATGATCCCCTACCCTTTTTTGTTAGGTTTAATCTGTTTGTTTTGTTACAGCAAAGCATATGATCTTGTCAAGGTGGTCGCCTTAGAAAGGGTGGTCGTCTAAGGCAGTGTTCAATACTGATCTTTGCTTGTGTTCTCAAAAATGCTACTCAGCTCTAGAAAAAATTGCTATGACACAATTCATGCTAAAATTATACTAAAGGTAATTGCACTAGAGATACGCAACATCGGGTTTTATGTCAAAAATCAGGAAACTAAATTGTTTCGATGTGTTTTAAATAATTTTTGTTTGAACTAAATGCATTAACACGAACGTTGACATAATTGGTAGAAGAAGACCAATTTCATTTTTAGCTCGGTAAATCATCCTGTAGAGTCATTAGGTTAATTGGAAGCAGAAAAGATGAAAAATATGCAACCACCTTCGCCGGGAATCGAACCACGGACCTCTGGAATACCGGCCCAGCGTGCTACCGTTAC